CCTCTTTACAAAGTTCTGAAATGCAGAATTGGGATTTAGAGAATATGAAACAATTCAGCTACTAATTATTTTAAAGGTTTCACAAATGTAAAAAATCTAAAAGGACGTTATAAACACACGCATTTACAACATAAACAATAATAAAAGATGCAATTTTAGTCTACTTACAATTGTATAATTGTATAATGAATATATCTAAAATGTTTACGTGTATACATGACAAAAGTATTTTCTGATCTAATCCATAAGAATGCCGCATATCTTAACGAATCACGAAAGACATAGTACTTCCCGTTTCTTCTCTATGCCCATCTTCAAGACCTGGCGATGGGCATATTTTAAATCCCCATATGCTTCATCTCTCATGCCCTAGAAATGCTGCGCAGTTCTGCGAGTTGCGCATGTGGTGGCATGGAGCACGGGCTGCTGTGAGTATTCGTACACGGATGCCGTGGTTCGCATTGAGCTGATGCATCATAGAAGAAAATACGGATCTATCTATACATAAAATAGCGCACGCAGGAGAAAGTTCTCTACTGCTAATGTGAAGTTATAGAAAAATTTATCACATGCCCTTTTTTCAATTTGAAGAGATGAACGGTACGCCGTCTTAGACATAGTCTCATTCGCCCTTTTCTCAATCAGAACGTCATTGGCCGTATAATAACATTTTGATTCTCCAATATAGGACCCTTAAGAGAGAATAAATTGGCCCAGCATAGTTCCCGCTCTGCCAATAGTTTTACTTACTCCCAAATATCAGAAGTATGACATAAGACAAGACAGATAAATAGCACGTGGAATACAGGAATACCATTTACTACAAAGTTTACCTCTTCCTTTACACGCTCTTGTAGTTCCACTAATTGTATCATAGACGAATTTATAGATATTGAAAATAATGGCTAAAAATATCAAAGGACAAAATGTTTGGTGGACTTACCAATGACGCGAATGACATCACAGAAATGGTAAATCGGGTCACGTGCAACTAAGATTATGATATATTTTGTTGAAACCAAAGTCAATTACTCTTCTCCATAATTACCTGCAACACAAAATAATATCAATTAGATCAAGCTGCAATTTTCATTAAGGTATTACAAAACATGGAAAGATGTTAATTGTAGGAATTTCAAGAACTTGTCTATTCACTTTCACTATTTTCAAAAATACAAATTAAACAACATTTTATTTAACAGTAATTTCAGAGTCCAACGTGTCTCCTCATTTTCGAAACTTGGAAATTGTGAAACCTACGATTCGGCTGATTTATAACTCTGGGTTATGAACTCTTACATCAAGTTCTGTTCTCAGATGTGTCTCTTGTTCCTATCTACAGATAAAAACCATTTTAAATATTTGAGAACAGCGCGTTAAGTCAAGCGGAATCGAAAATGATCTTTGTTTTAAATCCCAAGAATGACACTGCTACATTCACACATGTCGAAGAAGAATGACTGAGAGGAATTTCGTTGGAACAGATGGCGGAGTAGCACACGCAATTTGTACGCAGTATCAGGTCATCATTAAGCGTTCTCTCACCAGCTGCGGTTCATCAGCAAAATGTAAATGAACCTTTGGAAATGTGATACTTAAGAGGTCACACATTTCACTGCCAACCATAAATTGGGGGCTCTTTAGGCAATACTTAAATATATTTGGTAAATACCAGATTCCGCATAAAATATACAGAACTATCCCAAAGAGGCTACAACATTATTTCGTAACAGTAAATACGACAGGATAATAAGAAAAGATAAGACCTCAAATCTGACATTCAAAATATCCATGATTAAATATGGGAAAGGTGGATGAAGAAAAACGGAATAGAATTTGGAAATATATCAGTTTTGTGATTTATGGAATTACATGTGGTGATCGAAGACCTTAAACTACATGACTAGAACTTGAGAGTTTTGTGGATTTGCTGGTACATTCTCTAAAGAGATAAACGGACATCTTAGATGCGGACAGATAATTGGAATGTACTGGGAGATCCAAAGATTTGTTTGTCAATTGTCAAACTTCCATCATGACACGTCAAAAATAACATCAATAAGAAAATGTGTGCTAAGTTCAAATGGAATAAATAAAAAACGAAATTACTACGTGTTATCATCAATATAAAATATAAGTAATACTTGTTTCTTTTTTACGTGCTTCGTAAAGTTTTAAATGCTTTCTTTTCCGCCCAACGATGTAGGCTTACGTGCGTAACCACAAATATTAACTAATTTTCTACTGAACACCGAAGACGAAGCAGCAAAGACTTTTTTTTAATCATAACATGGCGTCTGGTGAAAGAATCAGTAGTGAGCGAGCGTTTCTCACTCACTATTGACTGGATAACAAAGAAATTAATATAATATCAGTGTTAATGAGTAATTTCGCGACATATCGAATCAAACTGAAAATAGACCTGGCCTATTTAAGTAATACTTCATAACCGGTGTTATAATCTTTCTTTGTCGAGAACTTCATTGCCGTCTATTTTTCGCCTCGTTCTGACAGGTTTCGAAAGTAATTATTCTTACTGCAGTACTACCCCAGCTTCTTGCAGCTATTACTACTTGACCTTAGAGTTATCAGTGGTGTTCCTCCGACCATGCAACCGGCACTAATACCCTCACAGATGGCTTACCTTAAAGATCAGCGCACAGCGAGACCGCCCACGAGGCACTCACGAAAATCCACGAACATATCCCACGAACCCACGAAAACAGCACTCAGCGGCCGCCTCGCCCTCCCGGGTGGGCTAACTGTAAGTCCCAAAGTAGTAATATTCCGTGAAGAAACACAACCACGCTCGTCACCGCCGCCGCTTTGCACCGCAGCCCTCTCATTGTTTCGAGGCGTCAAGTCGCGTTGCTGCGCCGCGACGACAGGGCAGTTGCTGCGCGCGGAGCTGAGCGCAGACGCCGCTGCGCAGCGTCGCTGCGCGTGCAGCGGCCCAGCTCTCCCGCTGTCACGCCGCCGACGGGCGACAGCCCGCGCGCGCACTTCGTGGCCGTGTAATTGCACAGTACTGTTAGGCGTAAACAACGCCAGAGAAAATGGCCGCAGGGCCCACGAAAGTATTATTTTTATTTGTCTTTGTGTCTGTCCTTCTTTTCATCTTCTTCTTCTTGATCTTCTTTCTTTTTCGACGCTGGGCGACAGTCATTTAGTCACTAATTTTCAACTGGGGTTTAATCAGAAAATTCGGGAAGGGAATGATTCATTGGTTGGTGTTTATGTTCAACAAAAACGCATAAAGTAAATTAAGCTTTGTTAATAATATAGAGTATGCTGTGTGTGTGTTCCTCACCCACCAACACCCTCCTCGCTCGATCTCTTTCCTGTCGCACTTGCAAAAAACCATATCCCCTAATTGCGCACTGGCGGTTTCAGAGGGTGGGGGATGGATACCATGCCCCACCCCCTCCAAAAGGCCTGGATGTTTCGTTTACCTGTCTTTATTTAGCAAAGTTGATTTAAATACTAATTTATGGTCAAATTATGTAATTATTTAAACAATATTTAATAGTATCAAATCTAAAGTATGAAAATACTACACAATACAATAACATATATATTTATTATTTAACAAAAATCTAGGTGCCCCTCCAAAATAGTAAGCTAAATCCGGTCCTGTAATTGCGAGTGCATTTTCTTGAATGACCTCCTATTTATTGTGTATCGTATTAAACTTTTGAAAGCGGTGAGGTGAAAGAGCAGGACCAATGACCTGAACCTCACCACCAATTTTTTTATTTATCACCAATTATTTTAGAAATTATAGATGTAAGCAGATATATTAATGGTGTAGCTGTAAAAATGGTATAGAAACCTAACAGTTGTTAATTTCGCACCGCACTCTTCCAGGGCAGCACAATAGTCAGCGCACCACATCCAGGCCACTGCCCTCCTCCACCCCACAGCCGGGTACTTAAGCCCCTTGGCTGGCCCCGTCACCGCGTAGTCGTTTTTGCGGCTTCCATACAGTAGGTAAGGAACGGCTCAACTTACATTTTCATGTTTTCTGTTTCAAATTTTACATGTTTTTATTCAATTTCATTCACTTTTCTTGTGGTATTAAATGACTTCACTGCCCCTTTTTTTCAGTTCTTAAAATGTTAAATATATTTTCTAAAAATTGTAAATTATTGGTAATATTTTTATTATAATTTTGTTGTCAAATCAAAAAATATTCACGTTTCAATGTTGTTGTTTTTTCTTGAACTAGAAAACTGATTATGATGGCTAAGCCATCGAAAGCTGCTATTGTAATAAACAATATTGTTGGCAATGACGACTCATAATTATTTCATTGGCACTGGTAGTTGTGCTTATCAAAAATTCTTTTTCGTGAAACTTAGAAAACAGAAGCTGAATCACCGTGCCGTATGTATACATTAATTGATGTCCCAAGTTACTGAATATTTCAAAAACAATGTAAACATATTACTGAAGCGTTCGTTAACAAAAAATCCTACGATACGTTTTATCAATAAAACTGTTGGCATGCATCCGCAAAAATCCTGCTAAACAAAGCCACACGAAATGGTTTCCCAATAAGTAGCTCGCACACTGCTCAAGAACAACAAAAAAAATACTCGAGACGTACGATTTCGTATAACACTGCAATGAATTAAATATTTTATCACAGTCCTTGCGAATACCTCAAAAACATAGTCTATTTTATACGGATGCAAATACAACATGTCTTTGTGTTCACTTGCTTAAATCTCGCAAATGTTTCCTCATTTGGTTGCCATGTTTTACACCGGAATCTTTCAATTAATGAGGGTAAAACGATTCATCCTGTATTTACTCTTAGGCGTGTTGTACAACCAGTGTTATCAATGTAAAAGTTAAGTGAATTAAAATCTTATCTTATAAGGGTCAATTTAAAATAGCCTGATAAATGTTCTTTGTCAAAAAAAATCAAGTCATGTGATCGCAACACTATTTTATGTTTCTAGTAGTTCAACTACTATGCTTCTCCATTGCCTACAAGTTTCCTTTACATCTTTAAGTTAGTTTTTAATTTTTATCTGAAAGTGTTCTCAATCTCATTCTCCCTTTTTTGTGTGTCTATTATGACTTTCTCCCTTGCTCTTTTACATGTTCATCTCTTTCCATCTCTGCAAGCTGTCCTCGTACATTCTGATGCTCTGTCAGGTTTTGCCAGTATTCACTCTATTTCTGTTCGATGAAACAACTATTATTTCTCGTTTTCCCTATTGTCATCTCAAATGCCTCTTTCTCTGTATTCGCACTCGGAATGGTAGATACTGACTCTTATTCAAAAGGGTGGAGGAGGAAGTATAAGTATAAATATAATTTATGAACATGAGGACATCAAGACACCAGTCACTTCACTAAACGGTATTTCTCTGTAGAGCAAACTTCGAAGAGTGCGTAATACACTAAAATATACTTAAGTGCTGTGTACAGAAATACGTTTTAACAGCTGAATTTCCTCAAGAATCTTATCATGTATAGATTTCTCGCGAGAAGACAACGAACGTTGGAGGAAGAGAAGGCGGATGTCCTACTGTGAACACACTGGGATTCTGCAGCGATCGCATCCTCCAAATACTGCGTAGCCGCGATCTCTTCGGTAGCCGACCAAAGCGAGGAGGACAGATGTTGCCTTCCGCGCACCTGCCAAAGGCAGGGGGAGAACGCTTCACGGAGCGAAGCGGAGCCGAACAGCTGTCAAGTTGAGACACTTCAACATCCTTCTGGAGACGGAATATAAAGAGAAGGCCAATGCCTCACGAAATCAGAAATAACAAGCTCTGCCTCCTGAACGGGAGCACAAACTGTGTCCGAAGAGCGGGCAAGATGATTCGGAAGAAAAGTATTCGCAACCAAGCAGCGCAGAAAGAAACTCCACAAGTTGCCACAAGATTCCATTAGATGCTCTCTTTTATTAAAAAAAAAGTTAAATTCAGGTTTTTGTTCTTGTAATAGGCCGAGAAATCTGCTTGTGTCATTGATTAATTAACATTTTATTTGATCAAATATGAACATTTTATTATATTTCGTAGTATAAGTGGCTCAGTGTGTAGCACGCTGACTTTGAATCCGGGCTTCCCGTATGCAAACTCCGTGCCGGCCATCCTGTCCGGGGTTGTCGTGGTTTCCCTCGGTCATCCAAGCGAGTGCTGGGATTGTTCCACTGAAAGGTCACGATCGCGAAACCGGTATCGCTAGAGCAATTCGTTAACTACATGAAGTCACCAAGGTTAAGCGAATTCGAGACATCTTGGGTTCCCGCTTAAATGACCGACTAAAGGCGTCGAGGCCAACTACGCTTTACGGGACATATAATGGCTAAATGAAAGAAAATAAAAATTATTGTAACGACTAGATATACACGTATGTTTTGTAATATATTGCATGTTGAAATATAAGAATGTATAGGCATTGAGATTGAAGACTAAAAAATTAATGGTCCGCCAAACGTTCAAGATCTTTTTTCAAACGTCTTTTTTTTTATTTTTTTAGTGTCTCGAGAGACCCCTTTCTACTAGGTTTGCAATGCAGGTACAGTTAGCAGGTACATATTTAAGAATGTGAATAAAACGAAAAATAAAAACAAGATAACTACCCTATGATCTCCCACATGCACCCGCACCTCATAAATAGATAAAGGATAACACGTTTCGTTAAACAGTTTCGGCAAACAGAATTTAATGAAACCGTTATATGAGTAAAACATATCACGCCTGAATGCACATACATTATCAGTTCATACATCCACCGTATCAAATTCTACTTGTTCTAACCGTTATTCAATGTAACCCAAATACCCTTTTCGAATAGGAGATCGACGGCAGTCGCGTCGTTAGCTCCAACTACTCAGTCGCGCGGTGACACTTTGATGTTTCTTGACGTACGAGGCCGTCGGACAAGTCGAAGGCGCACGAGTATTACCTTCCATAAACATCTCCCCACGGAAATTATCGCCGCACATACAGGAAGGAACTTTCTCTCGGGCTTAAGACGTCGGGGCCAACGTATGAGACGTCTGCGGCAGCGGCCGTTCCCAATGCACAATTAGCCTTGGCTCATTGGAAACCGATTTGTGCTGTCACCTCACTCGCTTTTCGTCTCGCTTGAATCTCCCGGCCTCCTGGTCATAGGTGAGCTGCTTTCACGGCCGACCAACTTCCCGTTCCTGCTTGAGGAAACTTGGGACACGTTGCCTTTCATATTGACTACGCGAGATGCCTGTGAATTTTCTAGGTGTTAAGAAAGTATTTTCTTAGAAATAAGTTTTCCGTACATACGCGCTATTTCATTTGTCAAACACAAAAATCACAATTTTCTCACAGATATAAAATATTTTAAATCAGTAATTGTCATCCAATGTCGAAGATACACGTTCAATTCAATGGTTTAACACGAAATCTTATTTTTATGAATTATAACATTCGTTTCATTACATGCATTGTAATTCATTCATTAGCATACAGGTTGCGAGAAGTTGCATTTGAATGTTCGTGTGTGGCATTAATCATACCATATCTAATTTATTTTGCTCGAGCTATAAAACGACAGTGGTTTGTCCAATTGCTCTGGAAGAGATTGCATAATGAAACAAGCTGTAAGTGATATTTTAATATCTGCTTTGGTTACATTCAAGATTAATAATTGAAGACGCTTCGCATGCAATTTACCCAGCACTCGAGAATAAAATTAAGCGTAATTAAGATAATGAATTCCCGATTTTCCGGTGCTAGCCCTTGTAATGAAAAAACAGACAAACGCTCCGGCGAACTCGTTTTCACTGAGCGCCGAGGAGATACTCGCGCATGCGCGGAGGTAGGTTAATTGGGCTCCTGACACCGAATACTCTTGGCCGCCACTTCCCCAGATTGCGCTGCCGAAAACGCACGAGGAGAGAGTTGCCGTATTGCCAATACTGCGCCCACACGTCGCCTCAAATAAGCTGAGATAGCTCAGCGGCAACACGGTTGCCCCTGCAGCATCGGTGACAGGAAGGTCCTAAGGATCGAGCCCCGGTGGTGACGACACTAGGGCATAGTTAAGTTGACATCAAACACTGTCTGGAACGGAACTCTAGCGGCCGGATGCTCTGACCGGGAGGTTTCTTTAATTTCTCCGCTTAATATCAAGCGAATGTCGGAGCAGTACCCCAAAAATGGGCTAAGAACCGCGCGCGATTCTGCATTTCTCATTCTTGTTTCCTCGAATCATCTTACACCAACGGGTCGGTATAGACCCCTTGGATGTCGATGAAATTTTGAAAGGGGTCATTAGTAATCAAGGGGTCGATTGGGGGTCAATAGTCAAATATGAACCGACGCCTGATCAGTATAATCAAGATTCCATTGGTTACAAAAATATTAATGAACTTGATTGTTTTCTGATATAGATAAAATAAAAATTCACTCGTTCATACGTCCTATCAGAGAAGGGACACTACCACCTTCCGGGATATAACACTAACGGTTAAAATTATCATTACAGCAATGACGTATCCGGAATCAAAACTCACTTCTCCTCAACCGCCTGCCATTTCTCCAACCAAGAAAAACTGCAATATCAGAACTCGCTGAAAGCCCCGTATGTCTTCGTTGAGCAAAGAAGCAGGTCTTTACGACCTCCAATCCCATCCCGGGTAACTCCCTTCGACAGAGTAAATAAAGGTTTTCGTCTCGGTGAAAATGAAGCAATGAATTATGGGTATGAGTATCTTCCGATCAGTGATTACACGCCTCACTGCCCACTGCCATAACAGAGGTGTACGTAATGAGAAAATTGCTCTTCGGTGGTCAAATATAAATTACAGTGTTTTTAATACGTGACTGACAGTTGATAAAAAAAACTAATGGTCGAACTTTTTAAATGAGTATAATTGATATTCTGGCACGTTCTATTTAGATGGTGAGAAAATGCGGCGTTAGTAATTTTATTTCACACCCCAATCTATATTCTCCACCATGAAAGACAACAAAATGAATTCTTTTCGCGAGAAATAACTTTTCAATAGCACAATGTTGTTTGTAGATACTACCTGATTACTTAGCATTTAGTTCTATATGATTGTGTCTCGTATAATTAAGGATCATTTTTATCAAATCTTAAAAATGCAAAACATATTTTTTCATAAAACGAATGTTGAGAATGCATTTATATAAGATTTTGTTAAAAACTTGTGATTATGAATGCTTAAAGCAATATTTTTCTACAGAATTTGTCGAGTTTTGAAAAAGCTCAAGTTGGATGATAAAACGAGTCAAATGCTTAAACGATGAGTAACTTATATTGGATTTCTTTTGCATTTATCGGTTTTGAAAAAACGCTCCTCAAAATCAATTATTTATACCAGATCTTTTCATTCACATTGTTATTTGCTTCAAATGCGCATATCTACGAATACATAATTTTATTGTTTATTAAATTGGGCATTTTTATTGTGTTTAGTATTACCTAGCCCTAAAACACGAAATTGGACTTCAAATTGAAATTGCCACAGATATGGGATTCCCTTTAGATACGTGTCAGTAAAATCAATGGCAGTGAAATATAAGGACAGTTCTACCCCGTAATTGTGTCCTCTTCAAAATTAATTTGTCTGACGTGCAGCTCGATGTGAGGTTAAAAAATTAAACTAAAATAAAAATTAGTTCCATTGATGGAGAAAGCTCCTCCATTTCCAGCCCCGTACCTTTCCATTTTAGGAGCGAAATTTGCAAACCTCAATTGCTACTTGTTTCCTGTCATCGACACAGAATGCTCACAGCAGTACGCTAATTCTCCACATTGGTTCTCTCATCCATCAATAGCTCAAATAATTGTTTGACCCTAGGAAAGTGAACACTGCAACATCGCCAACACGGGTGCACTTACTATTGAAACATTAACCTACATCCAAACTAAAACATGTGGACATAGTACTCCTTTACCCTCGCAACAAGTCCTGGCTTCAGAAAAAAAGGCGTCTCCATGTTTTCCGAGGCACTTCACCGAGCGTCTCAGAGAAACGAAAACCGAGCACGGGCGGTCTCGTCCAACACGCATCGGCCCCCGCGTTCGGCCGTCGCCGTCCTGGATTTCGCGCACGACCTGGCATCGAGTGGGGCGGCACGCGCCGTGTCGTTCGCACAACGCACGCCGCACCGCACTACATGAACAGACAATCTGAGAACCTTGGACGTGGTGTGTCTAACTTGCAAGGCCTCAAGGACCACAACTCTAAACTTTAAAAAGGTTGCGGGCTATATTTTCAATACTCGAACGATCCACACCGGATTTCCCCTTATTGTTGATTTCGGCATTTTACCCGGGTGCCCTGAAACGGAGGGGGGGGTGAAATGAATGGATCCATACGTGACGTCAGACCGTACTGTGTGTAACGCAGTGAAACACATTCGGATGATTCTAAATATTTGACCTTACTTCAAAAACGTTATTGAATCTAAACTTAACCTACTACTTCGACAATAAGGAGGGTTGACCTAAACAGAACACGAGCGCAAAGATTTATTTAACCATGCATTTGAAGTAAATCAGCAGTTGGGATTTCATCCATTCGGGAACTTAAATATCCCTACAGTGACGTCACTATGAGGGCGTTCCCGATTGTGCGGATCCATAGGAAGGGAAATGAGGGAAATCCCCCTCCCCCTAAAAGTTTTCAGTAACTATTAATTGTAACTTGCCGCGAAACATTCAAGAAAAAATGTTTTCTGGTAGTCATTAAAACGAAGAAAATCGTATCACAGCATGAGCTGAGTGCAGCCTTCTACATTTTACAAAATCTGTAATATGACACATTCGACCAAAACATTTTGAATTTCCCCTCCAAAAAATTGTTTTAGAGCCCTTGTGTGTATGTATATATATATATATAAAAAGAGAGAGAGAGAGAGAGAGAGAGAGAGAAAGAGAAAGAGAAAGAGAAAGAGAAAGAGAAAGAGAGACAGACAGAGAGAGACAGAGAGACAGAGACAGAGAGACAGAGACAGAGAGACAGAGACAGAGAGAGAGAGAGAGACAGACAGAGAGACAGAGTGTGTGTGTGTGAATGCCTGATTCATTTCGTTTCCCCCCTTTGTTCCCTTCTCTTACTTCCTGTTTCCTCTGGTTGCCGTTAGGCGGCTCGAGGGCGGGCGGCGCTCTCCTCCCGCACACTCCCGAACGAGCGCGGCTCCTGTGGTGCGCATGCGCGCAGCGCGGCGCGAAGCATCTGGCGGGCGGCGCTTCCTTTCGGGAGGCTGCGTGCGCGCATCCAAGGCGGGCATTTAAACCAAACGAGTGCAGGGGGAGGGGGGAGGAGGGTTGAGATCAAGGACGCTCTGCGACCGAGGAACACGGGAGCGGAGCCTCAGTGCCTGCTGCAATGCACGTGGGACGAGGCGGAAGGAACATGTGGGACGAACCGAGGGGTGGGGCACGGAAGTCAGCAGAGAGAAGGGATCAACAAAACACCAATGGTCCAAATTAAAATATCCATGTTAATAATAGGAACTTTAAACACAGCGTAGCACACAGCAATCGGTAGGAATATTGTCATCTATCGTACCCCGACAAACCCTATTATCTCGTAGTGTTCGCCAGTTGAGGGACACGGACCATCGACCGCTGCGCCCGAAGCTGACTCAACCGCCGCGACGCGACGCCGCCGTCACCCGATGACTCGGGGGATCCCGCAACGCGCCGCACCACACGCGCTCAACGTGGCGTGCGCCCTCCGCCTCCGACACCGCCGCCTCCACCTCCACCGCTCCGCCACCTC